CTCTTGACAGTGGTCAGCATCAAGGAACATCTGAGTAACTCCAGCACATGAAAGGAAAAAAATATATCTACTAGAAATTACTCCCAAGCTACAGAGAAAACAGATAGTTACTTCTCATGCTGCTGACAGTTTTATTACTGGTAAAGCAATAATTGATATCATTTAATGTTACACTTGTTTTTAATTACAGAAAGCTCTCATTTCATAGAGAAGCCATAAGATTTCCTTGCAACGTATAACTCAAATTTCAATTCTCATCTCTGCACTGAATCCACTTGCTTGCAAACCTCCCTCATGAATTTGTCTAGTCTCCTGTTATCATCCTCTCTTAAGCACTTACGTTTCCATGCCTTCGTATCCTAATTCTACTGCCCATGAACACAAATGAATTCAAAGCAGCATAACAGTCACTACCAGAACACATTACAAAAACAGTTCACCTATTCTTTTATGTTTCTGTATACTTCACTTAATTCTTTACTGAGATATTGTATTCATTTCAGCATTCATTTCAGAGAGGTAACATCCATGAGAAATCCATTACTTCATGGATAACATCCTCATCTTCTTGACATTAGCAAGCAAACAAAGTAAACCACATCAATAACCATGAGCCTTAAATCAGTCTTCAATTATTAAAAAAACATTTGGAGACTCTAGGCAGAGAAGTGTTTCATTTTTTATTCAAACAGATTAATTGAAATCAATTGATTATTCTAAAAGCCACAAACCTGATAGCGTAATACCCCACAGTTACTTGCCTTCAACCCTCAAAATAAGACAATTTCTTGTAAGAGTACCATCAACTCAATTCTTTCCCTTCGTCTCGGGACATGGTGATCCACGTATTGCGAAGAATTACACTTACCTGTGATACCCTCTGCTAGTAGATCAGACATTTTGCAGCACATTGACAGTAATTTAGTAGTGTAATCATCCAAAAGAATTACCTAAAAATTTAAAAAAAAAAAAAAAATTAAATTGACTGGGTATAGTACAGCCGTATTATTTCTTGAGAGCCTTGGCTTGAAAATTTGATTCCAAAATGTCTCTTTACACTGTATCCTTCTATCACCTGCATACAGAAACTGTAGTAGTAGGAAATTATAAGTATTACAAGTATATTATATAATTATAAGTATATAAGTAGAAATTATTCTTGAATAATGTCAGAAGGCATCTCCCTGCGTACAGGATTTCAGATGATTAACTGCATCTTCAATATGTACCTTACCCCTAGACTTCCTACAGAAAACTGCCTCAGCCTTTCACTTCAATACATAAGTCTTGAATTCCTGCCTAATTTACCGTACAGCCTTTTGAAGCATATTTGTTCTTTTTCTAGAACTGTTTTCCAGCTCAAGCAGCTTCTTTCTGCTCCCACGCTACTTGCCCAGCACTTGCATGTTTTAGCAGGTGATAATTACTTCCAGCTATCAGAGACTTCTTCCTTCAGACTCATGAAGTGATAAGGCTCTCTCAGCATTCCTGACCATCTCTACATACCTTCTTAAGCATGAGAATCTACAAAAAACCCACAAGATTGCTCCGGTAGTCTATACCACTGCTTGCTTACTTCCTCACATTTCAGACAACAAGCGTACACTTCATAGAAACTCAACAAGAACCAACAAAAGAATCAAGAATTAACTAAGTTGAATTAATTACAATAATTTTAGACTCAAAAAAAAAAAAAAAAAAAGAATTCCAGAAACAAAATCAGCCACACAAAATGAAGAAGTCAGTTTGTTTTTCTTCCCAATCAATTGGCTTACATTGCAACAAGAAAAATGAATTAGAAAATGTTAATGAAAAAGCACTAGAAGATGGACATCAAAACACACTCTAATGAAATTGAAAAATCAGGTATTCTCTCTAGTCTACTGTCCTTTAAGAAAATCTTGCAAGAATGACACAAATAATAATTAGATGACTAATATGGCCAAGTGTCTTTCAAAAGCAATTAACAGCCCAGACATTCCTGGGATTCTGTTTGAGGGCATCCACTGAAAGGTAAGTAAGAAAAACAAGATAAACGACAGCAAACTCAACGTGGGACATAAAGGAACAATGTGCAAATGAGAAAAAAAATGAAGACTTGGATCAAATGATCTTCCTGTAGTCATTTTATCTGTACTTTCCTATTATTTTTACTACTGTTCAAGCATCACTGAAAGCAGCACACAAATTAGCAGCATCAGTCTCAAGCCTTGCTTGTCTTGCACTTTTGAATCCTGTTGCTCATATATCACACAGCAGTGTCATTTGCTCCTGGATACCACCGAAATTGAAATTCTAGAGAAATGAATACCTGAGCTGATACTCTTATTGTTTGGAAAGCAAGCAAGGTTTTAAGCAAGAAATAAAGTCATCCATCACATGAAACTTATACACAACTATACCTTCCATTCATCCTCTTTCCTACAGTCATCAAATATTGCAGATTTCAGCTCTATAGAAAAGAAGAGAGATAAACAAGTTAACAATCGGAAATATCAAGTTGTTCCAAAAATGAATTTTTTTATTTCTGCTGACGTCATTCTAAACAATCACAAGCCTGTAAATATTTCACTTTGTGCTGGGATTCTGTTTCTTTGCTTTCAAGTAAACTGTGCCACTAAACAGATGGCACACATGCAAAAATTTAAGTTAGTCCTCCAGAAACAGCCATTAGACCAACATACCAACAGGCAGACCTATTTTCCAGCACACGCAAGTTTTAAACATGCTCATTCTCTCTCTAGAATTCCAGCAGAAACCTAAGGAATCCCCAGGTCATTCACAAAATAAAAGTTACCTTATAACAGGCACCTGTTATTTTTCCTTGCTATCAGAGCTTTGAAAGAAATTTTGACTGAAAAACATGTGGCAGTAATAGCTGTAAGGCACAACTAGACCCTGGCTCTAAGAGATAGCCAGAACCACAAGTTGCACCTTTCTACAGCAGGGACATCAGTTTATCAAAATTTTGATCATATCAGTAATATATACAAATTAAGAAGTAGTCAGAAAACTGGGGGAACTGATGAGCCTATCCTTTTATCAACAAAAAAGTAACAAAATCCAGTTACTCTGTTTGTTCTTCCCCAGAGAAGGAATTTCAGATGCTGTTGCTGTCTGGGTCTAACTAACAGCAGCCATTCTGTCACACTCAAATATAAAGCTCGTACTAACAGGTCTAATACACAAGCTAGCAGTTTCAGCATGCATTTTGTGCCTCCTGCCAAGTGAAAGAACTGTCAAAGGGTCCAGAATAGCAGGTGTACATGCAACAAAAAGCACATCTGTTTTTTCAATGTTTGTAAACATTAATATCTTTGCTTATGTTAAAAGCTCTCTGGCATGACACCAAACCTAATACACCAAAACCCATACCCAAGCCCAGTGTGTAATACAGGCCCTTCTTCCCCCTTCACGTTCATACACTCTATGTTCCTTACATTTCTTTCCAGGTCTATACACAAGGTGTATGAGCTCATCTGGATTATTTTTTTTTTTTTAAAAACTTTGTGAAAGTTCATTATGTTTTCTGAGAACTCTCTCACCAGTAATCCAGCATTTAGCATTACGCAGACATCTTTTTCAGTAAATGGAGAGCCTGAGAACATAACCTGAAATGTCAGGTATTTTCCCATACAGTACTTTCACTTACTTGCCTAGAGAAAAAACCCTAACAAATGAACAGTTCAGTTGCCCACAGTTTCATCCCGTCATGAAAAAGTAATCATCCCAAGCTACCAGCATAGCAGACACAGCATACTTGCCCCTGCAGCATTCAAACTGCCATTTGTTTTGTCCCCACCTGCAGCTACTTATCTAAAGAATTCACTCTGGCTTACAGGCTCTCAAAATCACCTCATTTGTTTCTAACAAGCAATCATAAGCACTGCTCCATTCCTCTCTGTGGGGTCATTTCCTTCATTCTCCACACCAACCACCTATCCCATTCAATTCAGTTAAGGCATTTTCCCTCTACATAAGAGAGACAGAAAGAAAAATAAGTAGACACAATTGGACAGAATAACAGACTGCTATACCTTGGTGGTAAAAAAAGGCCCAAAACATAACAAATGACAAAAAATAAGAAAAGCAGACCATACTGCCCTAAGGAAGCACCTGGACTGCAACTCTCCCATAAGCAACTCTTCTGGGAAAAAAAGTTGCAGAAATACTGAGTCATAAGAAATATCGATGCTTTTTTTAAAAGCCCACAAGTCGCTTTTTCTTCTCTTTGCTCCCTTTTTTTTTAATTACTCTCCCCTCAAATACGTGTGGACAGCATAACTGACGATAAACTTCGATGAATCAACCTTTTTCCACTTATTTTCTCTGCTTAGATTCAGTCTAGAACTGCCCCAAATAGAAATCCGCGTGATCTCGGAACAACAGCTGCTAACAGCACCATCGCACGGCACAGAGCGGGCTCTCGCACCTGCCCGCCCGCTGCCGGGACAGGAAGGCACGGCCGCCTCCTGACACGCAGCCGGAGATCCTGCAGCTCCGCCAGGAACCAAGGAGCCGCTCGCGAGCCCCGCTCCGAAGGAAGAGAAGCGCGTGGGAAGGTGACTTCCGCCCCACCTGACCAAGGTGGCGGAACCCGGCCGGGTCCGCCTCACCTCGGCAGTGTCGGAGCCCTTCCCGCCCGAGCCGCCCCCACCTGAGGCGGCGGAGGACGAGCAGCACGGCGGCCCTGCCGGGCTCCGCACAGAGGCACCCGGACCCGGCAGCGCTCTCCCGCTGCCGCCCCGCTTCCGCTCGGCTTGGCTGCCCCCGCCCTCAGCTCCATCAGAACAGCGAGACCGCCGACATGCCGACCCTCAGCCGGGCGCGAAAGAACAGTGAGGCGAGACCCTCGCTGACTCACTCTGCCACACCAAACTCTTCAGCCCCTGCACCGCCGGCGCCATCTTGCTCGCAGTACCACCAGGCGGCTCCAGACCGCGCCCTCTTCAGAGGCGGTGCCGGCCCACCCCTCAGAAGCCGCTCCGCCCTCCAGGTGGCGAGGGGTGGGAGGGCGGCGATCGGAGCGCGCTCCTTGAGGAAGGTTTCTCTGTAGCAGGCTGCTGGCGGGGCAGGTGAGGAGCCCGGCTCCTTAGGGAGCGAAATCGCCTCCATGCACGGTGCAGCCAGCCGTCGGTTCATCGCGAAATCCCGCTTCTGTTAGAGGGCACGGCCTGGAGGACAACGCCGTGCCTCCTCAAACGGCACAGATCCAGAGGAGGGGAGCTGCGGGGAGCGTCTTTCCGTTCAGAAGAAATCACAGACTGAAAGGAATGTGCCTGTGAGCAGACGGAAAGAGCCACCGTAAACTAAACAGCAAGTTTCAGATCTGAATTGGGCGTGATTATTGTATTAGTTTTGTGTATTCGATACAGGAACTGTAACAAAATAAAACAAAAACTTGCTGACCTACAAGTTGAAGTCCGTGTAGGACCGGGCTGCCGCCGCTGCGCGGAGATGCGCGGTTCGGAGCGAGCATCGCTGCTGCTCGTCGGATTGCATCTCCACAGCCTGCAAGTGGTGAGTGCGACTGGTCTTCTTTCCAAGTGTAGAGAGCGTTTGCAGATGACTGGCAAGGCTTTGAAAAGATGGGATCTTTCAGAGCCTGCCTGTCGACAGGCAGATCCATAGAGGAGAACGAGGAATGTAATCTGCCGATCTGCCTCACTGGTTTCAGTGTCTGTGCTTAACGAGTCTGAACAGACACACCACATCAGTGAAATGTGTTAAAACGTGTAATCTTCTAAGTTGATATTGTTACTACTAGCACCATTAGGAGTTTTTTAGTTTCCCAAATAGAATATTTTGCTTTGTATTTCTAACTTTTTATATCTTCCTTTTCAGATCTTTTCAGCTAACACAGGTACATCTTCAAAATGGTGTTTTGGTTTTGGCTGCTCATTTCTGAATGGGTCCAAAGAGAACATACGCAATTCTGATTTCTAATAAACTGTGTAAGTTCTCGGTGTTTTAGGGGAAAAAAAAAAAAAAAAAAACTTTCCATGATTGACTGAGTTTTTAAAAATTTGTGATGATATTGTTGATATCTTTATAAACTGTAAACCTCACTTTTAGGAGTCTCAATTCTATCTAACACTCACAGGTGGATTCGCTCATGCCACAAACAAATAAATAACAATTAAAATCTCCTGAGCACTAAATATCTTTTAGTGTTCTGTGCATTTTAGACTTCCTTCAGTCTCACGTTTTGTGCCAAGAGCTCCTGTTGCCTTGTGTGTGTAATATGAGGAATACAAGACTGCAAGGAGTGCTTTCAAAATGTGCTCAGTCTATAAGCAGGATATTCCTGAATACACTGACCTGTGAAAGTCTTAAACGTTTAACCATAGCCATGCTGTTTTAGTACCTAGGTGCTTACTGCAGCACATTCTTTCCACAAGCTGCAGAATGCACGTTTGATCCTATTCATGTAGAGTGCTGTTCAACAGGTTGTATATCTATATGTGGATTATATCCAGTATGTTTAGAAAAGAAGTAGACTGAAGTGTTTAAGGGTTTCCAGTAAAATGATGATATTGTCACATAATAAAATGGTGATAATATCACAAGTGATATTATGAGAGCAAGTAGCAGTTATTGCAGTAATTAAGAGATTACAGAAGTGAACAAGGGAAATAGCACTGCAGAATCAGTGGAATGTCGATCTGCTAAAAATCAGTTCACCTATATGCTTGCTTAGGGTCTGAACAATCATCTTGTCAAGACTTCCCTACATTCAAGAACGACTGAAATATTTTTCTGATTATGGCTTGTTTTCGTCTGTGTTCGTGTGTGGTTTTTATTCTTTGTGTGTTGCTTTGGTTTTTTTGTCTTGTTTTGTTTTTTTTAGGTTTCTCTATGTCTATATATGATGTGACCTCAAGAAGCATTTATCTCAGATGGTCCAAGTTTTCAGGAGCCTCTTCTTACAGAGTCACAGCTACAGCTGTGAATAGTGTAGGCCATTCTTTACTGGCTTATTTTAGTGATGGGACACTTAAGAGCACTCTAACTTCATTAATTCCCAATACTGTCTATGCTATACAAGCAGAAGCCATTGACAAGAATGGAATTACTCTGGCAGAAACACAGACTGTGCAATCAACAGGTTAGTAGGAGAACCTTCTTGAAGAGTAATTTCAATTGACCTCTAAAGGGTTGGAATCCCTGATGTTTGTTGTATTTGTAGGGAATAGCTGCCATTCCTGTTGAAACCTTTTGCTGACACTCACACTGAATTTGGTAGCAGCATGGTTAGCTCATTTTCTCCTCTTCTTTTTTCTTATATGATTCCCTGAGCTACCATGCACAGCTTGCTCAGTCTCCAGCTTTCCAAATTATTTGCCCTTTCATTACAAGCGCAGATGTGAAGCTGTATACACTGGTGCTGATAAATGGTATTTTTGTTTCAAAGGACTGCTAGCATATGCTAGCATTGATGAAGAACCTACATAAACAAAGTACTTTTTAACTCACGCTGAAGGGCAGTTGAGAAAATATTTTGTTGAAATTCTGTTTGAAAATACTTTAAATCATAATTGAACACTGGAACAGGCTGCCCAGAGAGACTGTGGAGAAGTTCAGAACCCACCTGATGGTGTTCCTGTGTGACCTGACATGTTTCTGCTCCAGTAGGGGGATTGGACTAGATGAACTTTTGAGATTTCTTCCAATCCCTGACACTCTGTGATTCTGTGTAATAATTTTTAGAAATAGTCATTACCTTCCCAGTGTTTTTGTTTGTTTGTTTGTTGTTTGTTTGTTTTTTAATATAAGGAAGCAGTGCAATAACAATTAAAAGTAGCAGTGTTTATCCTGATAGGTATAAAAGCCTTCTACTGCTAGATCAGTTATCTGAGAACAGACATTAATGATCCATGTTTTCTAATTTATTTTTGATACCAATGATGCTATTTATTTTCTTTTGTTATGAATTGCTACTAACGACTGTATATTAAAAGGAGAAAAAATGCAATAGATAGCAATTGCTCAAATACACAGAAAGACACAAGTGCAAATGTTCTGGGGGCATGGTCTTATAGAATATATGTTGCCATTTTTAAAAGGGGACAAAAGAGGGTGTCTAGTATGAACAAATGAGAAAATGCTTGGGTCTAAGAGAGCTTCTTCCCTATAAATACATTTGCCTCGAGGCACATACTGACATCCCAAATACGTTTTAATTCTTTTTTTTTTTAGTGCATCTTTTGTTGTTATTCATGTTTTAGCTCCAGACGTTCCTGTTATTGATCAAGCTTACTCAAAACTTAGCAATAGTATCACAGTAGAATGGAGAGCAGTACCTGGAGCTACTAGTTATCTGCTGGCTGCACAGGATGGAGATGCCTGCATTGAAACTGTAGTCACAAAATCACCAGGTACAGTGATGGGATTGGAACCAGCCACCTGCTACAGAATCACCATCAGGTCTGTAAACGCAGGAGGAAAGAGCCGCCCTTCACCTTCCAGAAAAACAACAACAGGTGGATTTTATTTTTATTTCTGTTCTGCATTATTGTAATCTAAAGAATTTATGCAAGTATCTTAACTTAAAAAATAAAATAAAAAAAAATAATTAAAAAAAACTTTTGGAGCTGAAAATGAGCAGCATAGCAGTGTAGTTAAGAAGCGTAGCAGTACCAATAATTACAGTCTTGCATTTTAGATTGTATTGAGCACATTCTCCTTGCAGTTTTTGAGGACTGGAATTCTACTGTTTGACTTAATGACAAGGACATGAGTCTGAATTAGTGGTTTTGCTTTGTGACTGTACTGAAAGTTAATGCTTAATAGAGAAGTTTTAATAGAGTTTCTGTGAATGTCTGGATTTTATTTTAACAAGAGACGCAACTTAACAGAATGGAATAAATGAATAAAATACAACCAGAAGTACAAAACAATAAGATAATGTAAAACTTAGATGATGGGAAATACAGTGTCTTAGTGATTTGCATTCTTCTACACACTCAACCTTTTGTAATTTGTTTATAAGTTGCATGAATTGCATTCATTTTACAAAACCTGTCATATAATAGAAGTACCAAATCAGTTTCCTAATTTATTCTGCCAGTCTTGGATTAATTTGTTTTCCTGGGGTTGCTGGGTTGTTTTTTTTTTTATTTTATTTCTTTTTTTTGTCTTTTTTTAAGGTGGTGATTTTTAAATTCGGGGTATTTTTCTGGTATTTGAACCCACCAAACAGTATGACTGAGAAACTTAAAGCCTAACTGATATTCTTTCTCAACAGTCTTGTCTGCTCCAGTTCTGTCTGCCAGTTCCCCGAGCTGTGATTCCATTGCCGTGAGCTGGAAAGCTGTGTATATGGCAGTTGGGTTCTCTGTGTCCCTGATGAGATCAGACGGTTTGGGCAGAATGCTGAAGCAGAACACCACCAATACCTCCTTCGTATTTTCAAACTTAGATCCAGGAACTCTCTATACTATAAAAGCATATGCCTGGAATGCCAACGGCCTTCCTGGAGATGATTTCACATATAACCAAAGAACAAGTAAGAAATGTTCTTTTCTGAAACTTTGTAAGCATTTTATAAGAAGCTGTACCAAGAAGTATTTACGTACATAGGATTACATTATGCTTTTCTAAGATACACTGGATAGGTTTTCTCATCATGTAAGTTTTATTCTATGGAAACTCAGATGGTGTGTCTATGTTTAATGAATGTTACTGAGGTAAAGATACCATTAACTACCAGCAAAGTTTTACAGGCCTGGGTAAAGATTACACATGCTTAGACTAATTTGAGGATTTTTCTTAATTATTTTTCTTACTTATTTAAACAACAAATATTCAAATAAGGCAAGGAATTTTAAAAGAATGCTCGTTGTCAGAGTACAACTAAAATAATTTATTTATTTAGCTTTTAAATCAATGAGAGTTGAAAATTACTACATTTGCATGTTCTGAGAACGATGATGTCTGTAGACCATGTGCAAAGCTGTATTTACAAATATTCCAAACTGATATACCGTAGGTCCTAAGGCACCAGCAGATGTTCAAGTAGCTTTCAGTAGTGGAGCTTTAAGAGCTATTGTTTCTTGGATGCCAGCAGAAGGAGCTCTGACTTACAGTGTGACTGCCTCCAGTGGACTGTTGAAACTGAAGTGTAACACATCTTCTTCCTCCTGCACAGTACCATCGCTCCAGTGCGGGTCTGAGTATTCCGTTTCTGTCACAGCACATAATGATGCTGGATCCAGTAATCCTACTGATGCAGTGAGCTTAAAAACTAGTATGTGAATAATCGATTATTACATAGCTTATGGCATTTGGGCATACATTTATTTAATTTCAAATGCTAGGCCATTAACATTCTTGGTTCTCAAAATTGTTTTTGCTTCTGAACTGTGTGCATGAACTATGCTATGTATGTTTGTGCTTAGGGGATAATAGCCTAAATTTTCTTAATATTTCTGCGAGAAACTGGCAGTGGTGTATATATATTGTTAGCTGAAACAAAAAGTCTGCCTTTTCCTCTTACCCATAGTACATATTCTAAAGTCAATTTTCTGAGTGTAAAACTAATCTAAGGAATAGCAGCTATATCCTACTATGGTAGATCTGTCACAAAAGACCAGGAGAAATCTGTGAGGAAATAGCACTGAGGACTGGCCATAGACTGAGAACTGTTCAGGCTAGATGTAGTTGTAACTTAGAATGCAGATTAACAAATAACCACTTGCAACTAAAATGGTACCACTGGACTTAATTAAGATGTGGTCATAGACCATTTCAGGTAGCAGCTTGGTCAGTACAAAAGGCTGCTAATCTCTGCTACTTAGCACCACTACCATGCCAGAGATTAATGCTTTCTGGTCTGTTAGATGTATGGCCCATGTAAGCAAAACCTAAACCATGGAAGCTACATGCTACCTTACAGACACAACTTAATTACTGATTTATGTAATGTTACCTACCTCATTTTGACCTCTCATTGTGAGTTAGAGATGACTCGAGAGGAACTTGGGAATAGTTCTAATGGAATGAAAGCCTTTGGTAAGAGAAAGTTTAAGCTGTGGTCTGTAATCTTCTCAACCCATATTGCTTCTGTTTGACCATGTATAATTTAATTAGCAGCAAGCTGAACTCTTTGAACCAGAAAGAAAGGAAAGATGTTATTTGAGCAAAACCTATGGAGTTTTCAGCCTATTGCAAAATTTTAGGATGCCACCAGAAAGAAAACCAAAACAAATTACTTTTTTTAATCAGACACAGTCAGTGAGTTTTGTACCACCATATCAAAGGTTTTCACAAAAGTTTTTTAGATGACAAATGCTATTAAAACTAGTATTCTGATAATCATCCAGAACTATTTATTTGTGAGAACAGAATGTGCCAATTTCTTCTGCAATACTGTCTGGTGCCTCTGCTTTTGATTATGGGATCTCCTTCAGCAGATCTCTCTTATGTAAGTGATGAAGATCGCATGTTTTGTTCTGTAAAAATCACAGTCACTTCTCATCTAAATGTAAGTAACATCATCTGTAAAGCCATTTGAGTTCCTGTTTTCTTGAGCAAGACAATTCTAAATATTCAAACCGTATAGCATAATTCCACATATATCAGATTTTCGTTTTTTTTTTTTTCCCCTACAGCATAGCTTGAATACAAATATTCCAATGACAATTATTTTTTCTAATTTTTTTTTTTTCAGTTCCTTGTGCACCAGGAAATATATCAATTAAAGATGATGAACATGGAAACTTATTGGTATCATGGTCTAGAGTAAATTTTGGACATTATTATGTGGTTTTTGTGAAGAGCGATGATGGCTTGGAAGTATATTGCAACACATCCCACACACAGTGCCATTTCCAGTCAGACTGCGGTTTCACTTATTTCGTTAGTGTCTTTGCATATAACAATGCAGGGCAGAGTCCTTTAGGTGATGTATTCAATTACACAACTGGTAAGTAGTAAAGTATTCTTGCAAGTTCCTTTTGGATCTGCTACCTGTATTTGTGATAGAGCTGAACGTACGTTTTCATTTTTTCAAGATAATGACTTAAACTTCAATTTTTCCTTAGTGTGGGGGCAAAATAATCAGTTCGGTGGGAAATTGTGAAGAACGTCCTTAAGAATTACTTAGATAATCACCAGTTGTTTTGCAGTTTTAGATCAAGGATATTCATAATTCTGCATGTAAGTACACATAAATACAATGATTACATATCCATTAGGAGGCCCTTTGTTAAAAAAAGGGTGTGGAAGTACTCGGGCAGTAAGTCTGGGATTAATGACGCTCAATTAGTGCAATACAAGACACCTTTGGCGATTTAAGCTATGAAGCAGAGGCAAATGACAGTTTTCTGCTCGGGCTGAACCTCCATCTGTGCCTTGCCTTTCAGCACCGTGCTGCCCCAGTAACTTCCGCGCAGTGCCGGTGTCGAGCGACACGGTGGAGGTGAGCTGGGCTCCCGTCCGCGGTGCTGAAATGTACGAGACCAAGGCTGCCTCCGGGAGGGGGACGGTGCTGTGCAACGACACGGCCACCGCCTGCACCCTGTCTGCTCTGCGCTGCAACACCCGCTACAACGTCACCGTTTACTCCTTCAGCGAGGCCAGGGGCAGCAACACTTCGTGTGCATCTAAGTATGTGGCAACAGGTATGTGCATTCCTACCTTCCTTTAGCGGAAGAAATAATTAGGTAGACTGCAGTGATTAATGCATGAAAAGCATTAGCAGAGGTCTAAGTTACTGTAACTGACATAAGTGAAAACAGAAGGCTGCTGGAAGTATTTAAAAATGTACTGTGATGAGGGACCTAAAAAAAAGATTTGGACTGAAAATTACTGAGTGCTCCAAGCTTTTGAAAATCACTTATAATTCATTGCTGTTATTGTATGCAAAATTCTATGTTATCATTTTTGTCATGAGTTCTAAATTCACACTAAGCACAACAATGTCAGGATTACACACTTTTCCAAAGGAGCACATTAGTTTCAAATGGAAGTTAATTTTTGTGTAACTGTTATGGTATGTATAAACAATCTGTTAAACAACTTTCAGCTCCCTGCAGTCCTGAAATTAAAAATATCTCAAAGGAGGCTCTTTCTGTGATCAGTGTGCACTGGCAATCTAACAACGAGGAAGCTACATATATCGTAACTGCCCAAGGAGAGACTGGCCTTTGGCACTGTACAAGCTCTGGAAACTCTTGTACCCTAATTAATCTTCCCTGTGGATCTGCTTTCTCTGTCAGTGTTGTAGCAAGATCACCAGCTGGACAGAGCTTGCCAAGCTACAGTGTCCCTTTAGAGACCGGTATGTGGGAATTGTGTTTGATGTGAAATACTTAGTATCATGGCACTATAATATTTCTACATGTGTTTATAAATGCGTATATGTATATAAAAATTACCATTTGTGCAAATTATAGTTTCTCTTCCTGTACTCTGCTTAAAATATGCGTGTGTGTGTGTGTGTGTGTGTGTGTGTGTGTGTGAGAGAGAGAGAGAGAGAGAGAGAGAGAGAGAGAGAGAGAGAGAGAGAGAGAGAGAGAAGGATCACTTGGCATTTGCCTCAATGTAAGCAGCCATAGTGCAATCAGTTATGATACATCACAGCTAACAAATATATTGACTCCCTTGTCAGTGTTTTGACTTCTATTATTACCAGGCGAAGCAATGAGGTTATGCCCATATCACCAAACTAAACAGTCTAAAGAGAAGATTAAAGCACTTCCTACCGTAATTCCTGCTATTAACTTGTTAGCAGAACTTTATCCTATATTTTTCACCCAGACGATTCCAAAGCACAGTTCTGGGGTTAGTGTAGGCCAATTTTAGGATAGGATCAATTTTAGGATCAATTTTAAAAAGGCAGTTCAGTTTTTAACAGTTACTTTGATTTGTAGAGAAAAAACCTTTGAACACAGGCAGACCTCAACTGTCACATGACTTAACAGGTAGAGATGGACCCTGCTTAATCGGATCCTAGACATGGAGCCAGAGTCATCTTCCCCAAGCTAAGGTTTGCCTGAAAAGTATGCTAGTTGTCATTGCTCTCAATGCACTGCTCTAGTTGCAGTCCTTCAAAGTGCTTTGTTTTCCAAGTGAAAAAAATGAACTCTCTACTTTTATTTTACTTTTAAGCTCCTTGTTGCCCTAACGACCTGACACTAACTCAAGTGACACAGTCGGTAACAAACATCACCTGGTCTGCTGGAATGGGTGCACACACATATGCAACGACACTGGAGTCTCCAAAGGGACAGGCAAGATGTCACACTCTTCAGAACTACTGTCTCCTGGGATGCATCACATGTGGCACCAACTACACAGTATCACTGAAAGCCATCAGTGAAACTGGTTTGACATCCCATTGCACATATCAAGGATATTCTTCCAGTATGTAAACAATAAATGCAATTAAGGAGAAAATGACTTAATATACAGCTTAATTGAATAGCATTCCTCTAATGCAAGTAATGCAACTGAAACTCAATAAAGTTGCAAGTACCCTCTTTTAAATAAAAGCACATAGAATTAATTTCACATATTATTTAAACCCTGTTCTTACAACTTTGAAAGAAGCTTTAATAATAATACTCCTGAAACAAATATTTAATTATGCTATGGCATAATTAAATTCTAGAATCCACAAAAGGTTTTCTAGGTTACTGCCTCCATAATAAGTAGAAAAGAACAGTATTCCAGTACTACAAAACAGTAGTTAAATTCCAGCTCCATAATTTGAGTCTGAGAGCATTTTCTTTCCTAGCACGGTTCAGTGATTATTCTGGTTTTCTGTTAAGTAACTTCTCAAGGAAATGCTGCTATTTAACATGTTGGTAATTATGTCGTCTGTGAAAAGGCACTACAGGAATTTAGAACATACTGTACTTCACAGACATCCGTACTGATGCATTTCTTATTCTGCTAGGTGCTTGCTGTCCTTCTGGAGTGAAGCTATATAGACTTGGCAATAATGGTATCCGCGTATACTGGCGAGCTTCTGAAGAAACAATAAGCTACACTACTGATTTACGTGGCTCAAAAGGCAATTTCACTTGTTCACCTCGCTCGGGTCTAAGTTACTGTGATATTACTGAGATACCTTGTGGTGATGTCTACACAGCAGTAGTATCTCCAGCTACGGATAAGAGGCTGAAGCTCACCTTTTGTCCTAAAAAAATATATTCAGGTAAATCTTTAAAATTTTTTGAACGCTATTTTTTTTCCCCCATGCACACTAGATAGTTAAAATGTGATCAAGTTATTTGAGTAAAGGCAGCATGCAGCAGAACTTTTCTATTGTGCTCACTCCAGAATAATTTTGTGGATGCTATTCTGCAGTATGTGTGATGGGCTTCAGAAACACTTCAAGATTAAGCACAGAAAAGTTGCTTTTTCTTAGCACAGATCTTGCATAAGGATCACTAACACTTAACTGATGATTCTAGTGAATACAGAGAAGTTAATTTTCAGTTGGGAGAGCAGAGGTTATAATACATGGGCAAATAAATGAGGTTTTATAATCAGAAGTTAATTAAAAAAAGATCAAGAACTTCTAGAAAAGGATTCTTCCCAAGTGGGCACTGAACGTTTTGAAGTAGTAGTAATTTCTTTGTGATTCCTTTCTGAGGGCATAAATTTCATCCGCTATCAAACTGTATTGTGATGCAATTGCACAGTTGTTTAACATGGACTACATTCAACAGCCTACAACCTAAAACTTAACATTCGTACTACCGTTTATGTCATTTCAGTAACCTGTTCTGGAAGCTCTGTTGGAATGGGTAAGAACACAGTACATTCATTCCATTAATCATGTTCACAGAAGCACGTTAGTTAGCACTGTGTAAAACCAAGTTGCAAATAGTACATATTTGACAGTCAAAGCTTAGAGTCATGCAGGTTCATCTCACACGTCATCTTACAAAGCATAATTAAAAACCACCGTTACCTGCATTGTTGCCTGTGTACCAGCATGCCTTCTACACTGTTGCATGACTTTCACTGTTTATCTAATAATACGTAATAAAAGGCAGGCTTATCTTTTATAGCCCAGCCATATTCAGTTATAAATTAAACAAGGTCGCTACTCTAAATGTGACTTACCTGAATCCATTCTACTTTATTTCACAAGGGATTCAACAGGATAGTCTTGTGCTTCATTTCTCTATATAAAAGGCTTGAAACAACACTGAATGCACTTCACTAGATAGTTGCTTTTCCATAACTGGTTATGTGAATTTCTGAATTGTTACAGTGATATACAGAGGGAAGAGCAGTGCAGAACACGTCTAGATGGAAATTCTGGCTCAGATGAGGAGGTAAGTTATTAGGTCAGAATTGCAATGTACTAATCAGACTTTTCCTTCTGCTAAAATTTTTGGAATTAGAGCAATAAGCTTAATCAATTCTACCAAATAACTGATCTGTTGAAGTCCACCACGTTTACCTCATGTTGTCTACTCCTTTTATCAACACTGATTGATTCCCTCATTCAGTATCCCATCTTTCACTCCCTTGAGTATTTCTTATAAAATTTTATTACTGCCAGAAGCGAAGCAAACAGATCAAGATACTCTCCATTGCTCATTTACTTTATTTTCTTATCTAAGATTACTCCTCCCTTCCTCAAAGTACTAGCTTTCTGGGCAGTTCACTGTCCTTGTCTCAGAAGGATGGTAAGAAGTCACTGGTGGCCTTTTTTTCTTCCACCCCTTCCCCCCCCCCCCCCCCCAAGTTGATCATTTCCTCTTCACCACTTTCCTTCACTTCAGCTATCCTGGATGTTACTGACTCTGTTAACATCATTCTCCCTAAATATCCTTTCCCTGAAGCTGGAAAGATGATCTATAGCTAATTGCAACAGTCATAGATACTTGAAGATTGGGAAGAGGGAACCTGGAGATTTAATCTAGGACACTGAATTTCAGCCTCAACTGATGATGAGATCGCTTATAAAATACAGCTGAACATAAGAGATCCTGATAATCTCTAACTGTAATTTTCAGTGTAAAGCAATCAGTTCTGAAAACTGTTCCAGAACATCAGTAGCAGCGTTCCAGACCTAATGGATACCAAAACAGTAAAGGCTGAAATAAAAAATTAAATTTAACAAAGAGCAGTTCAGGTGCACTCAGAACTAGTTTGAGACTTCTATGTTATGCCTATTTGATAAAAGTGCACGTATCCTTGATAACTTGGAGAGCTAATTTATGAACTCAACATACTCCTTTTTTTTTTTTTTTTTTGCTTTGCTGCTGAGCTGACAGTTATTACTAGCATTGACTTCTTGGTTTTGGAAAAGGCATAACATTTCCTCATACTCCACTGTGGTTACTTTTCCAGCTGACACAGACCTGTTTTTCTGCACATCTCACATGAAATATTACACAGTATGATCAGACTGGGGTTTTTATGTAGAAGTGTCACTTTGTCTTCAAAAGAAAGATCACAGAACACAAACACTCTTCAAGTGGCAATAAACATGCAGGGAAAAGCTGAGACCCAATACAAAGGAATTAATTGAGAGTTTATTCCAGACGGTTCTTCTCACTTAGAATACAAGTCAGAATAATCTATCAAATAGACCTGGACTTTAATGACACAATTTTTTTTCCTATAACGCATTTTGGTTTTTGCTCCTAACAACCTGTTTAAAAAGAAAAATCTGCCAGATGAAATGTTCAGCACAAACTGCAATCTTACTATCTGTAGAAAATATGACTTAAAAAAAAGGACACTATCAGGTAATTGTTATTTTAAATGTTTACACTTATAAAAATGCTTTGGAAGCTTGAAACTGAAATCTTTTGAAATGATTTTCTTCTTCCTACCTCCCTCTTCCCATGTGAAATGCCTTCATTAGCTCAGGATTATCGTAACTTAGAGTGCAGCTGCCGATTAACAACATTAAATTACCATAAATTGATAAATGGTGTTTAACAATATCAGAACTTTACGTATTTTTTTCTCCCACACAAAATGCATAGATGGCTACAGTACTCACCCATCAACCCTTACAGTGTTTGCCTGAGGTAGCCTTTCTAAAGAATCCTGTCCTAAAAAAGCCCATTATAAACTAAAAATTTGCATCTAAACTACTGTCTCCTCAGAATTCCACTCCCAACTTGACACCAGTGGTAATCAACAAAAAACATTTTAGAAGTTTTTGAAAACAGCAGGTATAGTGGACATAAGTGTTACTCTAAATCTGCAGCCCTCCATGTACATCGTATGCACATAAATATCTCAGCTATTATACACACTCAAGGTCCATCCCTAAAAAGCCATGCTATTATGTGAAGCACAGCCACGCTAACTTCAGGATAATACAAACCATAATTCCACATCTACAAAACGAAAGTAGAATTAGTGGCAGTTTATTGCCTCATACAAATTTAACCAACATGGCAACCACGCCAAAGGAATTAAAACATTTTCAGGACATATGTACAGACTGTACATTTCAGAAACATCTGAACAATAAAAATGCAACAATCTCTGGATTACAAATTAAACTAAACAAATGGTTTTGAAACCGTCAATGTATTGAATGGGTTTACAAAGGCACTTCCCTACCCAGAATAGGAAATGACAATCTGCAGCCTAGAGGGAGGTTGGAGAAGAATGCTCATCAACTACTGCACAATTTCAACTTTAAGAAAAAATAAGCAGGATTTAAACATTTATAGGATTCAATGTGATCCACTTCTTAAAGAGTTCACACAGTCTCATCTTTGTTTTTCTGTTGCTTTTCCTGGCTCTCTCGCTCTGTACTTTGGCTCCTTCGACGATCGTGTTTGTCCGAATGGTCCTTGCTATCACTGTGATCATGTTTGTGGGAACGTTCTTTGCTTCTACTACGCTTTCTAGATCTTTCTTTACTGGGACTGTGATCTCGTTTTCTTGACTTCTCAACACTATCTGTTCTTCCCCTGCTTCTGCTTCTACTTCGTTTATTTGATTTCTCTTTGCTTTCACCTTTATGCTTACTTGATTTCTCTTTGCTCCTGCTTCTGCTGCGCTTGCCCATATTCTTACTTCGGCTTCTACTCCTATGCTTTCTTTCCCGGCTTCGACTTCTGCTATGCTTTCTCTCTTTTTTGGAATCCCTCTTATCATCCCGGTGTTTCTTGTCATCTTTGTCATCCTTGTGTCTTCTCTCTTCTGTGTCACCCTTACTTTTCCTTTCTTTCGATCTTTCTCTAGATCGATCACTATCTTTTTCTCTCTCACTACCTCTATCCTTATCATAATCTCTCTCTTTTTTCCGGCTGCGTTCATTTTCTTTCTCTCGCTCCCTATCCCTATCTCTTCTGTCTCCTTTCCTGTCACGACTTCGACTACGGCTTCTATATCGTTCCCTGCTTCTGCTTCGTCTCCTTTCTAGTGCACGATCAGTACTTCGAGACCTACGCCTCTCTTTTTCTCTCTCTTTAGCTTCACGTTCCAATCGCTGACGTTCTCTTTCTCTTTCAAGTTCTCTATCAAAACTAGATGACCCATGGGCTTCGCGATGATGACTTCTGCTTCTGGATCTTCTGGGAGACCTCCTGGGACTGATGGATCGTCTTGGAGACCTTTTAAAATAAAGGGTATTCAATATGAAACAACAGTTTACCAAGTAAAGGGAACCTATCTACTCTACAATAGATTTAGCTTTACATACACAGCGTGTATTTCATCTTAAATACATGTAGCCTACAAGAGAGCCGTACTGTCAGATTTTATCCACGAACTTCCATAAGCTATTTGCCCTAAAAGCCATCTTACTAAAAGATTACGTAGGTCTTCATAGGAAGTCACTCAACAATAAACTTTCAACCTTTATTTACAAAGTGACATATATACAACCTTGAACGTCTACGTTCTGTATGCCGGTCTATTTCTTCCATTCCCTCCTTGCCATCTTTTTTAATTTTTCTGGGTCTGCTTTTAATTTGCTGATCAATAGTCTTCTGGACTGGCACAGGAATTCTTGGAAACAATGTGGAAAACCATTCAAGCTTAGTGAGGAAGGAACGAAGCATCTCCCCAATGGTCATGACGCAGCCTCCACCGGCCTTCACATCCAAGTCCTATAAAATACAAACAGAAAATATCCTGATGGTCAAAAATACTCTTTAATTATTTAAGAAAAAATGCTGCTACATTACTGCCCTCTTGAAGTCTCACGATTATGTAAGTTTACTTGTCTTTTATTCTAATATATTTCCTTAGAAAAACTCTTAACTCCGCACCCTTTGGATTTGGCAGTATGTTACAGACAGGGAGTGGGACTTAGTACATGTGCATGCAGGAACATACTAATCCTGCACCATCTGGATGCTAAGGGACCGTCAGTGCAGAGATTAACACAAAATCCCCTTACACAGTCCGGTTATACAGTATGATCTTGTATTTTATATAAATGCCACAAAGTTGAGAAGTTCTCTGAAACGACATTTAATACTTCATTTTGTGGATGCACAACTGCATAACATCATACCCAACCCTGTGGCCTAAATCACTTAAGAACGATATCATTGCCTATCTAAAAATGATCATAGAAAAATCTGTAGTACAAAATGGCATCCTAACAATATTGGAAGCAATAGCAAACCAACTGCCATGAAGCAGTGAGGTTTCTAATTTAGAAATATGTAAAAAAATAAATAAATGAACAAATAATTGGAAACGCATAATCCATGATGACCATTGTCTCTGAAAAGGGTCATTACCGCATGAAGGCCTTCTTGCTATGCCCTCTCACAGCTCAGGACATGTTAGTCAGCTATTGTCAGTCCCAAACCTATAGTGCAAGCACACAAGGAAAGTGAGATTTGTTATCTAAACAGGAAGAGAAAATCTAAATGTAAAACTGCTTGCACTCACACACATTTAAGTGTTCAGATATACAGTATTTCCAAATATAATCGCTGCAGAGATCTAAAGAAGAAAAAAATGAGTTAAACGTAGCACCTGGAGAGTACGTACAGTTAACAAAATAAACGTAAGAAACATTTTGAAAAGTAGCTGTGTATCCTGAGAAGTCTTTCATTTTCACAGCAGCATGTCAAAAGATGAAGTGCTTCCACATACTTTAGAACTGGAGGAAAAAATCCGGTAGGTTTAAATTTACAGATAAATTTGCTTCATCCAATGAGTCTGACTAGGGCTAAGCAACTTAAAACAGCCCCAAGCAATTTTTCCTAAGTAACACAATGCTACTGAAAGGAGCTGGGAATCAAACAGTAATTCAAAAAATACTCTGGATCATTTTAAACAACAACAAACAAATACACTCTGATAACCAAGAACTGTAAAGACTAAAGCGTATGAACTAAAATAGGTACTCC